CAGAGACTCTACTTCCTCAGACAGCTGAGGCGAGCTGGTCTGGGAAGTAGAGTCTCTGATGAGCTTTCTTGATCAGGCTGGTGGTGTTGTTGCTCCAGCTGAGGTTGTCATTCAGGTGTACACCCAAGTACTTGTAGCTGGAGACCACTTCCACCGCAGATCCTCTTATGTTCAGGGGGGTGTAGGTGTTTTTGTTCCTTCTGAAGTCCACAATCATCTCCTTTGTCTTCTTCACATTGATGTGAAGGTTATTCTCTTTGCACCAGCTCTCCAGGTGTTCCACCTCCTGCCTGTAGCTGGACTCATCATTGTTTGTGATGCATCCCACCACCGCTGTATCATCTGCAAACTTTACAATGTGATAACCTGGATGGGTAGGTGTGCAGTCATACGTGAGCAGAGTAAACAGGAGGGGGCTCAACACACATCCCTGAGGAGAGCCAGTGCTGAGGGTTATGGTGGAGGAGGAGAAGTTGTGGATCCTCACTGACTGTGGTCTGTTTGTTAAGAAGTCTAGTACCCAGTTGCAAATGGAAGGGCTTAGTCCTAGTGTGAGTACTTTGTCCATCAGGGTTTGGGGGATCATGGTGTTGAAGGCGGATGTGAAGTCCACAAAGAGCATACAGACGTAAGAGTTTTTCTGCTCCAGGTGGTTGAGTGCAGTGTGGACCACAGAGGAGATTGCATCCTCTGTTGATCGGTTCTCACGGTATGCATACTGATGAGGGTCCTCGTTGATGTTGATGGTTGTTTTGATGTGGGTCATGACCAGTTTTTCAAAGCATTTAGCGACTATCGGGGTGAGGGCCACTGGCCGATAGTCATTCAGACCAGTCACTGTAAAGCTCTTTCAATCAACCTTTATTTATACAGGTAAATCCCATCTTTGGGACTGGGATGATGGTGGCAGTCTTCAGGCAGGTGGGAACTGTCTCCAGGGTGAGTGAGGTGTTAAAGATGTCGGCCAGCACCTTGCAGAGCTGATCAGCACATTATTTCAACACTTTTCTGGGGATGTTGTCTGGGCCGGTTGCTTTGTGATGGTTAATCCTCTTGAAAGTACTCATTACTTCTGCTGAGGTCACGCTGTGATGCTCTTCATCTGGTGGTGAGGTGATTCTGGTGCTGGGTGGTCTGTTCGGGTCTTCAAAGAGTGTGTAGAACTTGTTGAGGGCACCAGGCAGAGATGGGTCTTTGGGGCATTGTTCACTCCTTCCTTTATAATCTGTTATGCACTTAATGCCCCCCCCCCCCCCCCCCACACACACACACACACACACACACATGCTCCGAGGGTCTTGTGAGATGAATTGACCTTCGATCCTCTGTGCATATGTGGCCTTGGCCTTCTTAATACCAGCAAACAGCTCTTTCCTTGTCCTACTCAGCTCCTCAGAGTTTCCAGACCTGAAGGCAGTGTTCCTGGCTGCTAGCAGGGTGCGCACCTCTGCATTCAGCCCAGGTTTTCTGTTTGGGTAGCTTTTAACATATCTGATAGTGGAGACGGTGTCAATACATGTACTAATGTAACCCAAAACTGAGCATGTGTATTGGTCCAGATCAAGCGATCCTCCATTTTCAGCAGTTTCTCTGAAAATCTTGTACTTTACATGTGGGTAAAATAAACATTCTGAAAATGGAAGAGAAGTGCTCCTCCTCTCCCTGCTTCAGATCAGAACACAATCTTACAGTACCCTGTTTATCTTTCAACTTATCCATCTCACAAGACGGTCAGACAGAGGGTATTTCCAATTCCCCTCTTCACTCCTTGTGGGTGTGTGGGTGTGTGGGTGTGTGTGTGTGTGTGTGTGGGGGGGGGGGGGGGGGTCGAGCTTGTGAGCCGAAGAACACCATCTGAACTGAGGTACCAGGGTGGTAGCATCATGTTGTGGGGTGTTTTGCTGCAGGAAAGACTGATGCACTTCACAAAATAAGTGGTATCAAGAGGAAAGAACATTGTTGAAATGTTAAAACAACATATTAAGACATAACCCAGGAAGTGCTTGGGTTCAAGTAGGTCTTCCAACTGCACAACAATCCTAAATATTCTGCCAAACTAGTTGTAAAGTGGCTGAAAGGCAAAAAAAAAAAAAAAAAAAATGTCAGTGTTTTGGAATCTGAAATCTCTTAAAACTGATGTCCCTTATTGCTGGGGGTTTTGAATGTTTGTAGTTTTTAAAGATGAGTGTTCTGGACTGGAATTGGAGGTGCAAGATATGAAAGTGGGTAGGAATTACATTGTGTATAAGCCAAGGTTCACATACTTTTGCCACTTACAAATATGTAATATTGGATCATTTTCCTCAATAAATAAATGACCAAGTATATTATTTTTGTCTCATTTGTTTAACTGGGATTTCTTTATCTACTTTTAGGACTTGTGTGAAAATCTGATTATGTTTCTGGTCATATTTATGCAGGAATATAGAAAATTATAAAGATTTCACAAACTTTCAAGCACCACTAGGTACATCTAAAAAAAATCATCAAAAAGTCCTATATTTCTGTCCGTCATTTCAGAAAATGAATTCATTACACATAGAGTAAAACATTTCAAGCTTTTATTTCGTGTAATTTTGATGATTATGGCGCACAGATAATGAAAACCCAAAACTCAGTAGCTCAGAAAATCAGAGTATTGTGAAAAAATCCATTTAACCCATCACACATGAGATATGAGTGGTGGGTTAAATGCAGAGCACAGATGTGGTCATTGAAACATACAATGATCACATTACATTCAAATCCCTCAGTGAGGGGAACATCGGTGTACCGCTTGTATCATCTGAGTTTTAGAGCCTCTAGGGAAGCAGGATGGTTGATTGGAGCTTTTTTCCAGTCAACTATGATTTTGTATTTCATACAGTATCTATACATGTTTGAACCTCAATATATTTATGAATTTTAACATTTTAAGTATTGTGGCATGTTGGCACAGTGACTGGAGCTTTCACCTCTCTGTGAGAAGGTCACAGGGCCACCGATCAGCCCGGGGCCTTTCTGGGAGGAGTTTGCACGTACAGTACTCCATGTGCATGCAGGGATTACTTTCCAGGTACTCTGGTTCCTTCCCACAGATCAACAACATAGATTTTAGGTTAATTAGTAACTCCTGCGTGTCAAACTCAAGGCTTGCAAGCCAAATCTGGTCCAACATCTTATCTACCCCCCCCCCCCCCCCCCCAAGATATTTTAAATGAAGAATATTTTTATTGCTTCTCATTTTGCTTTGAAAAATGATAAATACATAATTTAGTGCAGACTTCTCATGACAGCTGACTAAGTTTGAAGCCAGAAGAAAAGTTGGATTTTTCAGTCATCCTTGACTCGGATGTGGGCAAAGCAACAAAGACGGGCAAGCAAGACTTTAAAACTTTTACTGATGAACCTGCAACCAAGAAAAGATGTCGGAAATCGACTAAATTTGGCCTAAGTTTTTAACTTTGGCTCTCTTTTGTAACTGAGTTAGACACCCCTGCGAATTGTCCCTAGGTGTGAGTGAAAGTATAAATTCTTGTTTCATTGTCTCTGTGGCGCTGTGATGGTGCAGGTACCAGCTCCCCAAAGACCCATAAAGGAAAAGTAGGTAAAGAAAATGGATGGATGGAAAGTCATAATAATGAATTCTGAATTAATTGTACTTGATCGTTATATAATCTGATACAGTTTTTGAGATAACATTGATGTTGTGTTTCTCTGAAAACCTCTGCAGAGAGTGGTGAAGGCTGCACAGAAGTCTGTCTGAGTCAGCCTCCCCACCATCACAGACATCTACACGTCCAGGTGCAGGAAGAGGGCCACCTGCATCATGAAGGACCCCACTCACCCAGCACACACACTTTTTGCCCCGCTCCCCTCAGGCAGGAGGTTAAGGAGCATTAAGTGTAGAACCACTAGACTGAGGAACAGCTTCTACCCTGACTCATAAATCCCTAACCAAGATAACCACTATAATGTCACTTTAATTGGAGACATGTCACTTTATCCATGCTGCTGATTTCTTACCTTAAGCTGCTGTATTCATACCCATCTGCTCACAACAGACTCATGTTCAGGCTGCTGTTTAATGCACCATATTATATAACATTATTAGTGTTTAGCGTATATCTTAGACCTTTGTATACTGTTGTATACCATTTCTTTTTTATAGTTTATATTTTTGCTATTGTTGGATGTAACTGGGACCTTGAGTACATCATTTCATTCCACCTCATGTACCACATATGATGCGAATGATAATAAAGAAACTTGAACCTTTTATATAATCTGAGTTTCAAGATTGTTTGGATTCTGTTATAAATATTAAGGACATTTGATACTCGTGAACCCAAGAATCTTATGACTTCTTGCAGATAAGAATATTCTGTTTAGATTAATTAATTTTATGACCCATCACTGTGATTGGTTCTGAACAGTGGGGCAGGTTTCACACACTGGGTCACAAGCCCACACCCTGAGGGCTTCTGTCAACCTGAATGGCTTGTGGGTTGGAGATTGTGCAAATCGAGGGGTTTAGAAGATATAAACCCCTTGTTTTTGTGTCACAACTTCTTGAGATTCCTGTAATCTGAGGAACGAGCAACCTGCAATTGCATTTTACTCATTTTTATTCACCTATTTCCTTTATCCTGTTTATTTTTTTGCATAATAAATACCACAAGAGACTTGTACAATTATTGAGTCCACAATAGTCTCAGACAATCCACAACAGACCTTAAACTCATAATAATATATTTAAAACTCTTCATTGTGCATCTTTTGACATTTAAATTGAAATTAAATTAAACGTCACGGAACATTAGAGCTCATATTATCAAATTTCAAAACTCCTATTTATTGTAAATTACTTTAAAAGATAAAAGTCAGACAATAAACTCATTATTATAACTTTGAAACTTTCATTTATAACAAAGTCTTTTAAAGATCATAACGGTGATTTGGAAAAAAAAAAAAAACAGAATTAAACTCCTAATTCTGATATTGAACCTTGTAAATATGACGTATAAAAATCATTGTGGCTTTTAAGGATACAGTGACTGAAAATCATAAATATGACTTTGAAACCTATAATATTGACTTTTCCATGGACAAGTCAACACTATAAATTTATTACATTCCACCAAAAATCAGAGGATATTAAACCAAAGAAACAAATATAAAAATAACCTTTGTTAAACAAAGAGTTGCTGACTCAAACAGCAACAAGCTGTTTCCACAAGCTTTGTCAGTTTTTCTGTTTCTCATTCTGGTTGTTTGTCTCACATGATGACTTATGATTCACATGAGCATGCGCCTACATTCAGCATATTTCATCTCATTTTGTCAGCTGTCAGACTCTAACGTCAGACGAAATCCAAACACCATGGAGTCTGACAACAAAACAACTTTGTCCTCAGTCTTTATTTGATCAATGTTCACAACATTCTCACAGTGACCGACATCATTTGCATTGTTTATTCCAAGAACAACACTATCAACCACACATACATGCATATGAAGTGATATTAGGCAAATCTGTAATCCGAGGAGTCATCAAAGCTGCACTTGTGCTTAATCTGTCAATGATCAAAAGAAAATGTTCCTTTACCACAACTACTGCAGCAAAACAGTCCAATAACTGTGATAACAATGTTAATCGACATGTTGGTAATTGTTAATTAGCATTAATTAAACGTGAATCATTCTATTAAATGTATCAAACTTTTAGAGGAAATAAATCTGCTTAAACACACCATTGCAATGCCGAACCTCATCAGATATCTCTTATTTAAACATTTGTGAAATGTGTTAGTTGCACTTTTTTGCAACTGTAATGCTTTTGATTTGAAGCTGTAGATTCTGAGTTGCACCTGAATGCCCCATTCTCAAGTAGAAACAACTGTTCCCTGGCTTTAATGTGCTGAGGAGAACATGTGAGGCACACATGCTGCAAACTGAGGCCAGCGTTTGTTCAAGAAGTCAAGCAGCATTTGTTCAGGACAGTAAAAACTGGGAATGAATCAGTAAGATAACCCAGTACATAAGAAAATGATTGTACAAGTACGATGAAGGCAGGTTCATGTGAGTGCCTCTGCTGCTGTGGCAGCTGGTAAGATTTAACTTTCTGCTTTTTATTCAAACTTCAGGTGATTGTGACAAATATAAACAGGTTTACAAGCTGTTTCAAATTACACTGTTGACAGATTTACAAAATAATAATAATAATTCATTAGACTTCTGCATAGCTGAAAACATCAAGTGTTCTGTCTTGCTAATTTAGTGTGATGAACAGAGAATCAGTGAAAACAAGTGTCTTTAAAAGCCTGTTTTTGTTTGTCACTTGCAAACTACCATGACCGCTCTCTAGAGGAATAATAGCTCATTCTTTTACATTCATACAACAAATTTTTTTATTTGTGGTTCTAAACTGTGTGCTTTATTTATTTAAACTTTTTTGTATTTTCCGCATCTAATTTGCTTTGTCCATGTCAGCTAGACAGTGAATAAAAGCTTAAAGACGCAGATTATCCAACAAATATTCTGCCATGTTAAAAAATAAAATTATGAATTCCTACAAAAAAATATAGGAGCTACATATATATGTAACAGGCACCATGTGGGAAATTAAAAATAACAACAAAAAACATTAAAGAAATATTAAAATCTCTTCATTCTCAAGCGACCTCTTGAGATGAGTTTGAAAACCGAGTTAATCCCAGAATATTGTGTAAAACTTTAACATGGTACCATTTGTTCTACAGAAATTAACGTAGTTGCAGCCTAGTGCAAAAACAGTTAGAAATTAAAGGGATACCATATTTTCTGGTGAATAAGTCGCAGGTTTTTTTTCCATAGATTTGTCAGTCCTGCAATTTATAAGCTGAAACGACTTATATACATTTTTTTCCCCATATTCAAAATGCAATTTTTGACTGATGCTTTAAATTTCTAAGAACTGCAACAGCAAGTCCTCCTGTGCACGCTTACTTCACTCAGCTGGTGCAGGTGGAGGAATGCTAGAGGGCTAGCAGCTCTGGCTGTGATGGATGGATGGATGGATGGATGGATGGATGGATGGATGGATGGATGGATGGATGGATGGATGGATGGATGGATGGATGGATGGATGGATGGATGATGGATGGATGGATGGATGGATGAATGGATGGATGATGGATGG